GAGTAGAAAGCCTCATCTTTCTCCCGCGGAGCGGCTGGTAGTTTCGAACCGCTGACCTTAAGGTTCGCAGCCCGATTCGTAGCCACTATGCTACCAGATTCCTTTAGTGAGGCTTAAAACAAAAAAACAACCCCACTGCTGTCCTAGTGATCCTGCAGGGCAGACCCGAGCTGCCCCACAGGGTTTCCAACACTGTCATCGTTACAGAAGCAGACTGCTGCCACTTTCTCCTGTCGACCTTTCAGTTTGCACCTGAGTGCTTGAGCATTGTCCTACCAGGACTCCTTCTGTCAAGATTTGTTGTTGTTGTTGTTGTTAAGTGCTCTCAAGTTGGTTCTGACTCATAGGGACCCTGCATAGGGTTTCCGAGGAGCAGGTGGTGAGTTTGAACCACTGACCTTGCAGTTCAAACTGAACTTTTGGTCCAACAATGCTTAGCCTCTGGCGCCACAGCAGGACTACACCTTAGGAGGATTCTCTTCAGTCTTATAGGGTTGCTATGAATTAGAATAAGGAGCTCTGATAACGTAGTGGTTACGAACTGGGCTGCTAACCTCAGGGTCAGCAGTTCTAAATTACCAGCTATTTCGCGGGAGAAAGATGAGGCTTTCTGCTCCCGTAAAGATTTACAGCCTCGGAAATCCTGTACAGGGTTGCTATGAGTCGGAACCGACTCTACAGCACAGAATAACAACAACATGCATTAGAATGGACTCAGTGGCACCCAATACACAACAAGCTGAGTGGCAGTAACTTGAAAAACGCAATCAGTGTCACTGAATTATACACGGAGAAATGGCTGAACTGGCATCTAAATTAATCAATAAAAGAGGAGTGGTCAGGAGGAACCGCCTGGTTTTTACTGATAAGTAATTTCTTAGAACTGAATCCTGGTGTGGCACTGGTGGTTCAAACCTACTAGCCACTCCTAAAAAACCCTATACAGGGTTGCTATGAGTTGGAACCAACTTAACAGCACTTAAAAACAACATTAACGAGCCTTAGAACCACCCCATTCCTGCAAAGTTGCCACTGTCCCAAAGAGGACGACCTACCTCGGCTGGGTAGCATTTGCTGTCCACCGTGTGCTCAGAGCCCCAGGTGTCGATGGCTCCCCAGTGAAAATGGAACTGCTTCAAGCGGTAGTTGTGTTCCAGGGGTCCTCCACTGATCACTGAAATGACATGACTGGCAATTCAGGGGCGGTCACTCCAGCTGTGGCCTATAGGAGACAGGCTGAATCTCTCTCTAAATGGATGAGTATTTATAAAGTGGATTTCCATGCAATTAACACCTGGTGTGGACTTTTAGTGTGATGCTGGAGGATCAGCACTGGACTTCAAATCACAAGGTCAGCAGTTCAAACCCACTAGCTGCTCCTTGGAAACTCTATACAGGGTCGCTATGAGTCAGAGCTGACTCGATGGCACTTAGGCACTTAACAACAACAACAATACATGGTGTAAGGTTTATGGGTGAGGCCCGTATCACGAATGACAGCAAGATTTAATGACCCCAAGCTACATGTGAGGGCCACTGAGTTCTCCAACATTCTACATTAAAGTATGCAATCAAATACAAATGTCTCTCAGCATGTTTATCCAATGCAACCTCTTAAAAATGGAAATACGGGGACAAACGATGCTCCCTCTCTTTTTAATACACTGATACTTCACTTGGTGGTTTTTGAAGATCACTAGTGTTTCTTGCCCTTTGAGTGAAATGGAATAGGGAACTTGCTAGTCAAAATGCTCACCCATCTCTCTTCGGATGGTGTGAACAATGTGAGGTGCTCTAATTTCCACAGCAGCCTGCATTGTGGTGAATGAGAAATAGCCCCCTCCTTTTTTTTGGACTTGATTTTTCTAGGCCTGCTGGCATCAATACATGACAGGCCAAAGATTTAGAGAGTTTTAAAGTCGTCCTTCCTCTGGCTTTGGTGAATTTTTCTGTTTGACATTTTGGCTTATCGTTTGTTTTTTCCATCTCACCAGACCCTGGTGGCATCAGCCTATATTATCACCAGACCAACACTAGAACATGAAAATCATTCATTTGACTGTCTTAATTACCTTCAGAGTGCACTGCGTCATTAGTTCAATTTTCTGTACACAGATGATCCAACCAATGCAGTGACTTTAGAGACCAAAACACATTGGCTGCAAGAGCTTGCTATGTACTTTTTCGCATCTGAAAACATTTTATATAATTTCCTCTTTAAACAATACAGAAACAAAAAAGAAGAAGAAGAAGGGATTGTGAAAACACCAACCACCATTTCCCTTCAGGGGCAGGGGAGGTGTGGAGAACAATAGCACGTGACTCAGCATCTCAATACAGTGAAAGGACTGTACTTATGTGTTGAAACAAAAATAAAAAGGCATTTTTCAAAATGCTTCTTTTGCTACCCAGGTCCATATTGAAAGTATGATTTTGGCAAAGAGTCGATCTACCTGTTGAAGAAAACTGAAGCTTGGGTTCCAAGTGACGTGATCAGGGAGTGGCTGGCTGGCTTTTCCCTCCCAGCCCTCAGCCTAGCACTGAGGCCTCACCAGGTGTCTCCTCCAGGGACAGTGAAGACAGGCAAGGCCAGAAGATGAAGTGGGGGTAGCAGGTAGGGGTAGAAGAAGTCGGGGGAGCAGGTAGGGGTAGAGTTGGTCTACGGGGGGAATGGAAGTTGGGGGGCGTTTTCATTCACCCACACAGTGTTGGTTCTACATGATACTAACCAAAATTTGTAATCAGCTGCCAATATTTGAAGCTGGGCAATTTCACGTAAAAATTCAGATTCCCAACTGGACTTGACAAGGAGCCGATCTGGCCATGTTGGCGGCACAGACCTCCTGAGTGTCAGCTGCCCTTGTCAGTTCTTTGTGGTCTCCCATTGCCTGGCTCCTTAAACCTTCCCAGCCTCACTCCCTGGTCTGTAGGTACACCTCTATCTGTGATCCCCAGGAGATAAGAGACTAGAGGCCCGGACCTCTGATGCTCACACCTGCTGGCGGGGAAAACCATTAAGCTCCTACTAGGTGCGAGGCCCTTGCCCATAGCTCTGGTAGCGAAGTGGTTACAGACTTGGGCTGCTAACCTCAAGGTCAGCAGTTCAAAACTACCAGCTGTTCTGTGGGAGAAAGATGAGGCTTTCTGCTCCCATAAAGATTTACAGTCTTGGAAACCCTATACAGGTTCACTTTGAGTCAGAACTGACTCCACGGCACACCACCATGTAATGGGCACTCTACCCCTATTTATTGTCCACAGTGGAAATGGGAAACAGGGAGGTATTCTACTGCATATTATGGTTAAGAGCTCATTCTCAATTTGATTTCAGTGGCTGTGGATCATTAGCCATGTGTGCTGGCAGCTTCTAAGAAGGCACCCATCACCTCTCCCGCCTCCTGATAGTCACACACTGGTGTAATCCTGTCCCAATGGAGGGCTGGACCCAGTGGGTGAACGTGGTGGCATGTCAGTTCCCAGAGTATGTGGCTTCTATCTTGCCTGCTCTATCTTGCTCTCCACAACTTCTCACTCTGATGAAGCTAGTTGCCATGTTATGAGCTGCCTTGTGGAGAGGCCCACGTGGCACAAACTAAGGGGCAGTCTCTGGCCAAAAGCCAGGAAAGAAACAGAACCCCAAAAGAAACTGAATCCTGCCACCCACCAGCCCTACAAGTGAGCTTGGAGGCAGATCCATCTCCAGTCGAGCCTTGAGATGAAATCCCAACTCCAGCTGACATCTTTTAAAGACAAAAACAAAAAACTCAATGAACAGTCTTGTCACTTTCATCATATGAATTTCATGAAACAGGATATCCAAAGAAAGAAATTTTTAAAAAAGGGCTGTTGTTGTTAAGCGATGTCAAGTCAGTTGTAGCTCATAGCAGCCCTGTATAGGGTTTCTGAGGAGTGGCTAGTGATTAACAGGACAGACTTGGCAGAATTTGAGTAAGCACCTGGTTCCAGAGTTCTACAAGGCTACAATCATCAAGGGGAGGCCATGGACACAGCAGGTCAGGTCCACTGCTGGGAAGTCATCCCTTCAGATGTACCATTTACTATCAACAAAGACAGAAGAGTGGAGCACAGTTTCCCAGCGAAGGCTCATGGTCTTGGGGCAGACAAGTTGCTCCCAAGTCCATCAGATCTAAGGCCAAGTGTATATCTGAGGCACTTAGTAGCACTTCAAGGAACTCTGGTGGCTCAGTGGTTCAATCGCTTGGCACTAACCAAATTCTGACAGTTCAAACTCACTAGTCTCTGTAAAGATTATAACTTGGGAAACTTGGTATGCCAGTTCTCCTCTGTCTTAATGAATCAACTCATGTTGATTCCATGAGTAGGAATGAACATGACAGCGGTGTTTGTTTTTTGTGTTTGGTCGCATTTCAATGAAGCCCACAGATTGGAGACCTGGCTTGGTGTACGTTTGTTTCACTCTGATCACAGTCCTATGAGAAAGACTCTATCTAAGCCAGAGGGCCCAGATTCTGTGTCCAGAATCTCCTCCTCTGAGCATGTCTGGCAAGCCATCTGCAAGTTGGCCCTGCCTGCCTCTGGGGGTGCCCCTCTGCCACTTTCACCTTGGACTTTACCTGTAGTTAACACCAGACACAAGCATCATACCTCCACGTCCGCATGCACCAAGAAGCCTTCTCCAGGTCCCATGTGCACACCTCCACGCTCTGTGTTAGTGCCATGCCTCCAGAGGTCCTCCTCCCCACTACACTCTAAGGCCCTAAAGGCAGGAGCCATCTCTAGCCCTCTTTCTACTGTGGGCACCATGCCAGACACTTGGTGGATCCTCAATGAAATTAGGTCCTAAGGAAATCAACTGTTGGTTAAATGGACTGTCACTGGTAACCTCAGCAAGGCTGAGGAAAAGGGTGAGGCAGGATCGGGGAGATGGGGACTTACTGCTATCAAAGAAGCCAGGGATGAAGGGAGTGAACCAGACAGAAAGAGCAGCTATAAGATATAGTCAATAAATAGGAACCAAACCAAACCCATGGCTGTTGAGTCAATTCTGGCTCATAGTGACCTTATAGGAGTAGAACTGCCCCTGGAGAGTTTGTAAGGCTATCATTTTTACAGAAACTGACTACGGCATCTTTCTCCCACTAAGCAGCTGGCCGACTGAAACTGCTAACCTTTTGGGGTTAGTAGCCAAGTGCTTAACCATGGCAGGCCTCCTTCCAAGAAATACAGATTGATCTATTGGAGGTGGTTGCTCTTTTGTCCCTTGTATGTTCTTAGATGAAAAAGGGTAAACGTGTATAAATCAGGTAACAAATGTAAAACACCTGGCATGGAGTGTGGCATTTAGTTAGTAATCTGGGTCATTTACATTACTTTCTTCTTTGGCTTTTGGGGATGGGGTGGAGGAGCTGGGAGTGGAGGAGCTAGGAGAAGGGTGATGAAGAGAATGGTACCCTGGAGACAACAGGAGTCTTTCTGGAGTGATGGGAATGTTCTAAAATGGAACAGCAAGGTAAGCTCACTAACAGGCACTGACTTGCTAGAAACGAAAAGTAAATGCAGGACCCAAATTAGGGAAGGGAACTCCAGATGCTTCTGGAAGCAGTCTTCCAAAGTTCTCTGGCAGTACCTAAAATTAAAACAAGGAAGTCATGGGATTCACACCACCTTCTCTGTAAGAGTAATTTCACAGCCGGTGGCATTTTTACAGGGATCATCCCGGGACTTGGCCCATGGAAAATCTAGTGCCTTTTTCCATGTGGTGCTGTAGGATAAGCACTGGACTACAGGGTCGGTTTGAACTGCAAGGTCAGTGGTTCAAAGCCATCAGTCACTCCTCTGAAACCCTTTTCAGGGTCTCTATGAGAGAACAGACTCAATGGCACATGCACAACAACACATGCACTAAAGGGGCCCTGGTTGTGCTCTGGTTAAAGCACTTGGTTCCTAAGTGAAACCCATTAGCTGCTCTTCGGGTGAAAGGTGAGGCAGTCTGCCCTCATAAAAGGACAGCCTTGGAATCAACTTGATGGCAACGAGGTTGGTTTTGGTTGCCCCACGCACTCATTAAAAATACTGATTTAATAGTCTGTGTCCTAGGACCGTCGACCAGCAGAGGGCAGTGCTATGTATGAGAGGATCAGATACCTGCTCTTAACAATCCTTTTAATTCTGGGAGGTCAGTCCAGATGGTGCCTCTTTCATTTCTGATTTTAGCAAGTTGAAGTCTTCTTATTTTTGTCCCCCTTGGTCCACCTAGCTAAAGGTCTATCAATTCTGGTGATTTTCTCAAAGGTACCCACTTTTGATTTCACTGATTTCTGATTATGCAGGCGTTGGCCTTTGTTCTTTTTTTCTAGCTTCTTAATGTGGAAAGCTAGGTTATTGATTTGAGACATTTCCTCTTTTGGAACACCGGCATTTTCATCTATAAGTATCCCTCTAAGTCCTAGTTTTTTGTAAAGGACACCGGAGGAGCTTTTCCTAGTTGTTGTTTTTTGTAAATCTTACCTTGACATTTATAACACTGACATTTGTTAGATCCTTCCTTGTCTAGAAGTGGTCCTTGTCTTTCTGAATTTCTAGGATGCCTTTCTTTTCTCTGTTTTCTCTGAATGTTTTCTTTAGCTTTTATGTTCACTCACTCTTGTCCTCTTGAAATGCTATTGGTTAATTGGCAACAGCCTGGAGAAACAGCAGAGAAAGAATAAGCAGGAAATAGAAGGCAGTCACTGAAATGTGGTAAAAGAGAGAGAAAGTTAGGTGCTTGTTAGAGAATGATATTTTCAAGAAAATAAGTACTAAAGCATGATGAACAGGGGTTACTGGTCTTGGTCCTTCCTAATAAAGCAACTGGGTAATTAACAATACCTCTTCTCCATCTTTTATTGCTTCGTATTGTCAAGAAAGTATGAAAGTGCCCACCGAAGCAAGGAAGATCAACTCATAGTGACCCTGTATAGGGTTTCCAAAGAGTGGCTGGCGTGTATGAACCACCAACCTTGAGGTTCGCAGTCCAGTGTTTATCCTACAGCACCACATTAGGATTCCATCTAAGGAGCTAGTAGGAGCAACTGCAGGTCACTTGTTTTCCATGAGATCTTGGCAATGTAAATGGGAGCATAAGAATGCTCAGCTCTAGTGTTCACAGGAGTAAGAAATGACTAGAAAATGAAGCCAACAGGTATTTGTCCTGAATGATCTTGGGGTTAACTCACTTGGCTAAGAAGCCATTAAGCAACCCTCTAAAACGTCAAGCTCAATGAGCCCATAGGTTGGCAACAGACAGTGACTGAACAGACTCTTGCCCCGGGTACTAGATTCTCAGGAAAAAGGAAAGAAGGTGGCCAGGGACCAAGCTGGGGATGAGGCTGGAGACGATAGCTGTGCATTCAGAAAGAGACTATGAGAGTTGGTGCTCTGTAGATCAGATCGGCCTGTTAGTTCATTTGAGGCAGGAATAGTGGCAGTGTGCTAAAGGGGTCAAGTAGAGCTCCCCCAATTGTAAGATGGTTGTCTGGGACACAGGATGGTTTGCTGTTGGGAAGAATTTTGGGAGCCTATGAGTCAGAATGGACTCAACAGCAGTAGGTTTCTAGAGAATGCCATATTGAGGGCCTCCAACATAGGGTTTGGAGAAGTTCAGAAATATGTCAATGAATCTGGGAGCTAGCTAATAAGAGCTCAGTTTTTAGAGCCATGTCATGCTCCGGAGGAGACAGGGGGAATGGTGGGCATTGAAGACACTTCCAGCCTTAAGAACAGACCAGAAACTTCCACAATAACAGCAGAGAAGTACTGGGTTTTTCTCCATAGTTTCTGCACAGCTTCCTCACTAGTTCGGTTCCTAAGCATGTGTGCATTATTTACATGGGCACATTATACACAGAAAAACTATGGTATGTCAGAGGGAAGTGAATATGAAGGAAATTTCATCCATTAGAGTCGTCGTCTATTGGCAATTGGGTCAGAGGACCAGCCTCTCCCTATTAGAGTGTCGCTAGAAAGGACGGCAGAGCTGGGAATTCTAGATCCAGGATAAACACAGGAATGAGCACTCCAATTCCATCCTTTATGCTAGATTTTTTATTTTATTCTTCATCACTTTTATAGATTCATTTCCTCATATTCATAAAAGAAAACATTTCTTTTAGACCATGGTTTTTCCACCTCAGCGCTATCGACATTCCAGGCTGAAGAACTCTTCGTTAAAGCCATTCTGTGGATTGCAGTATATAAACACTAGCAGCATCCCTGACAATTGACCCTCGAAATACCAGGAGGACTCTCTGCTCTCCTGTTATGACAACCCAAACTGCCTAGCGATGTTTCCAAGTGGCTAGGTGGGAGAAGAGGGGAGGGAGGTTGGTGAAAACTGTCACTGGTTGAGAAGCATTACTTTAGAAAGACAATTTCAAATAATAATTATTTCAGACTTATGAGGACTATTTGACACTATCAAATTCAGTAAAACAAGCAAATAGAAAACAAACAAAAAGAAACCAGCATAGTTAATCATATTCTGTCTTCAATAAACATCAACATTTTCCATGAAATTCTGAAATCATTTAGAGCTGTGTAGGAGCTCTGGTAGCGTAGTGGTTACGAATCGGGCTGCGAACCTTAAGGTCAGCGGTTCGAAACTACCAGCCGCTCCGCGGGAGAAAGATAAGGCTTTCTACTCCTGTAAAGATTTACACCCTTGGAAACCCTGTACAGGGTCGCTATGGGTCGGAATCGACTCGACGGCACTTAACAACAACAGGTTGAAAGAATGAAAAAATTCAAAAGTGATCTGATATGTGAATTTGAACATCTCTTCTAAACTGTGTTTCTTTGAAAACAGATAACTTCATTTATTTAACAAACGGAAGAGTTCATGAGTTTCCATTATTCTAAAATACAGTGAAGCCTGTGGGAGCTGAAACTCAGCAGGCCTGCCTTGTTTTTCCAGGTCTCGCGAGATTTCTGCCCTTGACAGGGAGCAGTCTTAACCACTTTTCTATCACTCATTTGAGTGGGAAACATTCGAGTTTTCCTTCTCTAGCAGTTTCCCACTTTAGATGGGTTCTGGCTCTTTCAGGTTTTATCATAGAATTAGTTGTAATTATGTTGTTAAAGCCTATAACCATAAGACACATGATTGTGCTATTTCACTCCATTTCAAACGCACTATAATCTGACCGGTTACAACTGATTAAATGGTATTACTATTTGATAGAGGGGTTACTTGTAAAGTCAGCAACATGCTCAACACGCGTACACATTTTTGGCAAAGCTTTAATCTCACACTTTATTTATTAGACAGTGAGTGCTAGAATCTATATATAGAAATGCAGGCATTCATTAATTTGTTATTTAATTAATTTAATACTACTATTAATCATTAATGATATTATTTGACTTTTCATTAATTATTAAAATACAGCCTAGCCTAGTAGAAGGAAGTGTGCATAAAACTAGAAAGGACTTTTTTGTACATTCGAAAAGAAAGTTAAGTAGGTTGCATGCTCTTGCTAACAAATGAAGTTAATAACACTACAGAGGTGACCTAATGTGTCCTTTAACTCCAATCTGAACCCCCAGAACTGGCTCTCACCTGATTGGTCTGTAGAATCTTCAAATTCCACGAGGAAAGAGTAGCCGTTATTCCAGACGTGAAGGCAGGTAGTTGGATCATAAGAGATGGTGAGAGGTTTTAGACAAGGATCATAAACACTGTCCCTCCACCGGATATTGATGGGGGACTGCCGATCACCCCCAGGAACCAGGTCCACACTCTCCCAGAGAGGATGTACTAGGAGAAAGTAGACTGGGGGTTATTCTCAAGAACATCCACTGTTGAGTACCAGCCCCCCAGCACACTATCATAGAGTCCATTCCAATGAAGAGTAACTCAGTGTTGTTGTCCCACCACTCATCTGTCAGTCTGTCGTACTGTGGTGGCTTGTGAGTTGTTGTGATTCTGAAAGCTATGCCATCAGTATTTTAAATACCAGCAGGGTCACCCATGGTGGACAGCTTTCAGATGAGCTTTCAGACGAAAGGAATGACGAACTACTTTAGAATATTTAGTCACTGAAAACCTTATGAACAGCAGAGAAACACTGTTTAGATATAGTGCCAGAAAATGAGCCCCTCAGGTTGGAAGGCACTCAAAATGCGACTGGGGAAGAGCTGCCTCCTCAGAGTAGAGTTGACCGTGATGATGCAAATGGAGTAAAGCCTGTGGGAGAAAGGCCCGCAGGACCTTCATTTGCTGATGGGGCACAACTCAAAATGAAGAGAAACAGCTGTAAACATGCATTGAAAATTGGAACATGGAATGTACGAAGTATGAATCTGGAAAAATTGGAAGTTGTCAAAAATGGAATGGAATGCATAAACATCGATATCTTAGGCATTAGTGAGCTGAAATGGACTGGTATTGGCCATTTTGAATATGATGACCATATGGTTTACTATGCTGGGGGCGGGGGGGAGATGACAAATTGAAGAGGAATGGTATTGTATTCATTGTCAAAAAGAACATACCCAGATCAGTCATGAGTCTGTGATAGGATAATATCCATGTGCCTACAGGGAAGCCCAGTTAATACCACTATTCAAATGTATGCACCAAACACTAAAGCCAGTGAGGATGAAATAGAAGGATTCTTACCAACTTCTTCAACCTGAAATTGATCAAACATGCAATCAAGATGTATTGATCATTACTGGTGACTGTGCAAAGGTAGGGAGAAAAGAGGAAGGATCACTAGTTGGAAAATATGGCCTTGGTGATAGAAATGATGCTAGAGATTGTATGATAGAATTCTGCAAAATCAATCATTTGTTCATTTCAAATACCTTCTTTAGACAGCATAAGAGATGACTCTATACATGGACCTCATCAAATGGAATACATAGAAATCAAATTGACTACATCTGCAGAAAGACGATGGAAAAGCTCCATATCATCAGTCAAAATAAGGCCAGGGGCAGACTGTGGAACAGACCATCAATTACTCATATGCAAATTCAAACTGAAGCTGAAGAAAATGAAAACAAGTCCACGAGAGCCAAAATATGACCCTGAATATATCCCACCTGAATTTAGAGATCATCTGAAGAACAGATTTGATACATTAAACACTAAAGACCAAAGACCAGAAGAGTTGTGGATGACATCAAGACCATCATACATGAAGAAAGCAAAAAGTCATTAAGAAGACAAGAAAGAAGGAAAAGGTCAAAATGGATGTCAGAAGAGACACTGAACCTTGCTCTGCAGCGTAGAGATGCTAAAGCAAATGGAAGAAATGAGGAGGTCCAAGAGCTGAACAGAAAATTTCAAAGATCAGCTTGAGAAGATAAAGCCATATACTACAACAAAATGTGCAAAGATCTGGAGTCAGACAATCAAAAAAGAAGAACACGCTCAGCATTTCTCAAGCTGGGGGAACTGAAGAAAAAATTCAGGCCTCAATTTTCGTTATTGAAAGATTCTCTGGGCAAATTATTGAATGATGCAGAAAGCATCAAGGGAAGATCGAAGGAATACACAGAGTCACTGTACCAAAAGGAAATGGTTACTGTTCAACCATTGCAAGATGTAGCATATGATCCAGAGCCAATGATCGTGAAGGAGGAAGTCCAAGATGTATTGAAGGAATTGGCAAAGAACAAGGCACCAGGAATTGATGGAATCAAAATTGAAATCTTTCAAGAAAGTGAGGCGGCACAGGAGGCACTCACTCATCTCTGCCAAGAAATTAGGAAGACAGTTATCTGGCCGACTGATTGGAAGAGATCCGTATTTGTGCCCATTCCAAAGAGAGGTGAACCAACGGAATGCAGAAATCATCGGACAATCTCTTTGATATCCCATGCGAGTAAAGTTTTACTAAAGGTAATACAGAAACAGCTGCAAGCATATATTGACAGAGAACTTCCAGAGGTTCAAGCAGGATTTAGAAGAGGCCATGGAACTAGGGATATCATTGCTGATGTCCAATGGATCTTGGCTGAAAGCAGAGAATATCAGAAAGATATTTACCTGTGCTTTATTGACTACACAAAGGCTTTCGATTGTGTAGATCATGACAAGCTATGGACAACATTGCGAAGTATGAGTATTCCAGAACACTTAATTATGCTCATGAGGAATCTGTACCTGGACCAAGAGGCAGTTGTTCGAACGCTGAATGGTTTAAAATTAAGCAAGGTATGTGATAGGGTTGTATTCTTTCACCATACTTATTCAACCTGTATGCTGAACAAATCATCCGAGAAGCTGGGTTCTATGAAGAAAACCGTGGCATCAGGATTGAAGGAAGACTCATTAACAACCTGCGATATGCAGATGATGCAAGTGACCCTACATTACGGAGTATAACTGCTTGTCTGGGTTTCTGAATCTAAATCTTTACAATGCAGACAGGTTCCTCTTTCTCCAGTAGAGCAGCTGGTAGGTTTGAACTACCGACCTTTCAGTTAACATTCCATCGCCTAACCCACAGTGCCACTCGGGCTCCTTATTGAGTAACACACAGAAAGCAATTCCATTTGTGGAGAGCTTGATGAGGCACAGAGGAACTCTGTGTTTTAGAAAGTCAACATTCAATGAGGAATCCTATGCATGTTGTTGACTAACTAGTAGAAGTAAAGGCTTACATCTCCTGCCCCCTCTAAAAGGCTTAGCCCATGTAAGTGCAATGTTAAGTTTCCCCTTGGATGTCAGCAACCTTGGAGGATGAAGCGAAGCAGTCATCTTGGAAATCTGGGTAGGGTATAAACTTGGGCAAAGCTTCGTCAGGACTCCTGGTGTGGCGTTCCTTGGAAACCCTAAACAGGGTGGCTCTGAGTCAGAACCGATGAGAGGGCACTTAACAACAACCAAGTCCCTCAGTTCTCCGCTTGCCAGGCAAGCAGCTCGTTGTTGTGCCTAGGTGCCATTGAGTCAGCTCTGACTCATAGCGACCTCTGGATAACAAAATGAATGTTGCCTGGTCCGACACCATCCTCAATCATTGCTAGGTTTGAGTCCATTGTTACCATATGTCAATCTGTATTACATACTAAGGAGTATGCACACACACACACACACACACACACAGCCTGTTCCCACAGGCACTGCTGCCACCACTGACACCAGTTTTCTCCACTGTCCAGCATAGGGTCTTTGTCTAGGGCACATAGGTAATCAACACCAGAGGTGGATCTATAGACCCATCTATCTATGCGTGATGACTAGAACCCATACTTGTGGGGTTGTCCAATTCTCTGCCATGTAGAAGCCACACACATAGGTAGAGTTGAGTGTGAGGATTTGAGAAAGTGACAAGGTAAGTGCCACCCAGTCAGTTCTGTGGACATCATAAGGGACCATTGTCTTCCTTCAGTTGTTGCCTACAATTCTTGTATTTTGGGGGAAAGGGCTCCCACAATATTGATTACTGAATCCGCCCCCAGGAGTGCCTAGCAAGTTTTTCTCAACCAAAGGTGCTTTTGCCACTCAGGGGACGTTTGGCAATGCCTGGTGACAGTTTTGGTTGTCACAACGAAGGGAAGATGCTACTGACCTCTAGTGGGCAGAGGCCAAGGTTGTAACTAAACATCCTACAAGGCACAGGACAACTTTCTACCAAAAAGAGCTATCTATCTTACTCAGAAGGAGCTCTGGTAGCGTAGTGGTTACGAATCAGGCTGTGAACCTCAAGGTCAGCAGTTCAAAACTACCAGCTATTCCGCAGGAGAAAGATGAGGCTTTCTGTTCCCGTAAAGATTTACAGCCTCAGAAACCCTATACAGGATCACTATGAGTAAGAACCGACTCCACAGCACATAACAACAACAACAACAACAACAACATCTAACTCAGGATGTCAAATAGTGCTGTGCTGGCGAAATCCTGGCACAGAGCTAAAATCTAGACGCTAACGCAACGTTTTTTGTTTTTTTTTCCCCTTCACAAAACATAGAACTCTCCTAATTCTGGAGTGATTGGAACTCAATGTTTTTCTTTCTTTCTCCCAGTATGACAAAACTTGTTTCTTAGAAAAGGTCAAGAACTTTCTGTTTCAGAAACCTAAACCAGATAATGAATTTCAACTGGTACATTACTTTCATATTTTAATGTCATTGATTAGAATGCAAATTTCCTGAGGGCAGAGCCATATCTTTCTTGTTTTTTGCTGCCCTGAGCTCTGGTAGTGTAGTGGTTACGAATTGGGCTGCGAACCACAAGGTCAGCAGTTCAAAACTACCATCTGTTCCGCGGGTGAAAGATGAGGCTTTCTGCTCCTGTAAAGATTTCCAGCCTCGGAAACCCTGAGCAGGGTCGCTATGAGTCAGAACTGACTCCACAGCACATAACAACAAGAAGTGACTTATTCAATATATATTTTTAATTTGTTCATTATCTGATTGCAATTGCTGAGAGAAAAACTATTTTCCCACAAACTGGTTTAGATTCTTAAACTTCTAGAAAGCCCTGGTGTGGCACTGTAGGATAAGCACTTGACTGGTAACTACAAGGTCAACAGTTCAAATCCACCAGTTGCTCTTTGAAAACCCTATACAGGGTCACTATGCATCAGAACTGACTATCGGCACTTAACAACAGAAAGTTCTAGAACGGTGCCGATTCAGCTTTAAAGTTGCATGCCACAGGCCTCTCCCCTCCTAAATGCTCAGAATATTCCTGATACTTTGAACCAATTCACGAGGGTCTCTGGCGAATACCAAAAGGAAGAAGTGAGCCAGGATTCCCTGTCGCGCAGGAAACGAACAGACTTACCTCTCAGGCCCATCCAT